CAGGGAGTCCAGGTTGTTGACTATCAAATTGTTCCATCTTGTTGCCCTTTGGGGTACCATTAGGTGATCTGGAAATCTGATTTTGAGACTTGTTTACGTGTCTTCTCATTTCAACAGATGCAGCCTGCTGTGCTTTTGTTGAGACAACTTTTTGCTCACCCAGTGGTCTTCATTTTTCAGTAATCCACCAAGCAACCTTTTCTCTGATGCTCATGAGTGTACCAGTTCCTGGGTTCAGAATGGTTGCCTTCTGGGTCCCTGAGCTGACCTGTTGTCTGATCATGCTTCTGGCTAGGGCCTGTGCACACTTGGGATGGTATCTAGGCATGTCTCTGGCTAGGGCCTGCCCTCCTATGTAACTGTTGTCTGGAAGGCCCTTTGGCTGGGAGCTGTGCACCCCAACCCTAGTGTCTGAGCATGCTTTTGGCTAGGGTCTCCATCTTACTTATTGTATGGAGTTGACCTCTGGCTGATGCTTGTGTGCTTGTGCAGCTCTTTTCTGGGCAGCCTTTGGGTTGGGGTTGTGTGCCCAAGCCACTGGTGTCTGTGTGTGGCCCTGGCTGGGATCTGCCTGCAGGTGTTGGGCTCTGGTGTACACCCTCCTCCTCGTATTTTATAAATGAGTTCAACCAGTAAAAAAACCTGTTGGTACTTTCTTACGCTGTTATTAAATTTTTAATTATTCATCAGCAAGTAACCTTTTCATATAAAAGAATAACTTTATGTTTCTTTTAAAGTTTATGTTGTCTGTTACCCCATAACCTCCCATGAAAACATTTTCCTGTAACATATTCTTCATCCAGAAGATTAGCAGAGTTTATATCTGATAATGATCTCAAGGATTTCTGTCACTCATAAGAGCTATTATATGGCTTCAGACTAAACATCATTTAGGGAATGCTTTGCTTTTGGAGGGGGGCATCAGTATTGTGGATTGCACCCAGGCCCTTCTTGTTGAGCTATATCCCCAGCGTTTTCCAAAAAAGGAAAAAAAGAATGTTTTTAAATTTTGAGAGTCCCACTGGTTCACTTAGTTGTCCAGGTGGGGCTCAGACTTGTGGTAACTCCTGCCTCATCTTCCTAGAGGATTGTAACTCTTAGGCTTATTGACATGCCTAACCTATTACATAGTAATATTTTTTTCTTACACAGAAAATAGCCCTTCTGTTCATCTTTAGAAGGGCAGAAATAAGGTATTTTAATTTTTTTTTTTTTTGGTACCGGGGATTGAACTGGGGACCTTGCGCTTACGAGGCAGGTGCCAGAACCACTGAGCTAAATCCCTGGCCCAAGAAATATGGAATTTTAAAGTCACAAGGGACCTTAGAGATCATGTAGTCTTACTGCTTTCAGACATTTAAAATCCTTTGGTACTACGAAGTGTAGCTCTGGAACTGCTGATCCAAAGTATGCTTTACAGTGGTCCAGATTATAATGATCTGATAATAAATAAGACTGTGTGATAGAACTTTCTAGTGTGAAACACATAAATATAAGTAGTAAGAAAATGAAAACATGGTAAGAGGATAAGATAGAATGAGATGGGAGGATGGGGGAGGTAGAGATTGATTCACTGAGAAGGTGGAATTAGTGTGGAGTCCTAAACTGAGTGAGAGAAAAAGCCATGAGGAAGTCTGTTGAAAGTGTAGAGATTAAGCTTATTATGCTTGGGAAAAATTAAGAATGTTGTTGCTACCTAAGAATGTGCATGCAGGGAGATGTATATGAGTAGTAAGGTAAGGACTGGACCAATTAGCTCCTTAGTAGGCCTTAGTAAGTGCTGTGGTGTGGATATGGTCTGAATATATTCCCATAGTTACTGTTGAAATTTAATTTCAATTGTGAAGTATTAAGTGGCTAGGAACTCAGTCTGAGTGTGGTGTTTAGAGGTGAGGCCCTTGGGAGGTGATTAGGATTAAAGTCATTAGGGTAGATCCCCTGCATGATTAAATCCTAAGGACTTTATAAGAACACGAAAGAGACCAAGGAGAGACAGAGACAGAAACACAAGCATGCACACTCATATTTTCTGTCTCTTACTATGTGATGTTCCACACTACCTCAGGATTCTGCCTGCAAGAAAGGCAACACCATGGGCCGGGGATTTAGCTTAGTGGTTCCAGCACCTGCCTGGCAAGCACAAGTCCTGAGATCCCTGTTACCAAAAAACAAACAAACCAAAAAACCTTACCCGGTTTGTGGTACAATAGTTATTGTCTTATTGGCAATAGGAAAAGACTAATGAAATAATGAGGAATTTGTTTATATGATTATTTTTCAATTGGATTTTTTCATCTTTCTCCTACCATTCCTTTTTTGGTTCAGTCATAGCTACAAAATGCTGAATTTTTCTCATAGACTGTAATATTTCTTATATTGTTTCTTTTTTCAGTGAATGGCACCACTGACTACCCATTTAACTAATCCAGACCATGGACACATCATCTTTCAAGCCTCATCTTTCCTTTTTTGCTAATTCTGCCTTTTTGGGATAGGTCTATTTGTCTTCATTCTCATTGATACTATTATAGACAGCTAAATTAGATAAAAATACTATAGGTAGTCAGGTAGGGCTGGACCCTCAAGAGAGTCAGTATAAAAGATAAAAAATACATTACAACTGTGGCTGGAGGCACATGAGTTAAGAGGCCAGATCTCAAGATAAAGACAAAATAACCAGGCCTACATATTTCCCTAAGGGATGAAATAAATGGTAACGCCTGGTCTAATAAAGTCTAGATAGATATCAGTCACCTTGGTGACCAAGATCCTGAGACCCATTACATTCCTAAGAATTTCCTTGCTCTTTGCAAGTACACTTGCTACGTGACGTGCTTCCCCATAGATCACTATTACTTAAGCAACTATACTTATAACCTTATTAATTGATCATAGCTCTAACCCACATTGTACCCATGTGGTTGCGCTTTATAAAATTTCCCCTAATAAGTGTGGTCCTCGGCCACCCATCTGGGACCCCTCCTGACTCTCAGGAGCTGAAAATCTCTCCTCTCAATCAATATTTCTTACTCTTAACTTCCATAGTTCCTAGAATTCATTCTTCAATTTTAGGGAGCACAAACTTGGTGTATCTGACATCTAACATGTTGAGAGATATAATATTTCCCCTATATCATATAGAGGTCTGATATCATCCCTGTATCAATACTAATCATGTTTAGGCTTCCATTATACTTGTTGACAGTTACTACAGTAGTCTCTATAATTTTAGTTTTTGGGTTTTTTTTTTTTTAATAGTACTGGAAGTTGAACCCAGGGCCCCATGAATATTAGGCAAGCTACAGTAGTCTCTTAACATCTACATTTCATTGTACAAAGACACATATGATCTGCTGCAGCTTTGTTGCCTTGTTTCCATGTTTTGGAGTTTAAAAAACATGTTAAAAATTCTGTTTTAGGTATGTTGAGTTGTGGCAATCAACCGAACTTGCTATACCTCCAATTGAATGGAATCTACTGTGTCTTGACTAGAAGAGTATGTTAGACTCTTCTTAGTAGCTTTAAAAAAAGACTAATTCTTAGCTTCTTCCTCAGACCAATTTAAACAGAATGGGAAGGGGTGGGAAGAAAGGTTGTATCAATATAGAAAATATTTGCAGGTAACTGAGTGGGCACCAACATTGAAATGCATTGTTAAAGCATGTACTTCTTGCCATTGATTTGGCAAATAATCATTTGACTCAGTTCTGGACGAAAAGAAACAGAGGTCTTTTTGTAAGGTAACTTTACAAGGAAATGTGTTTTTTTAAAACATTGTCCTGTATAGGTATGAACCTTGAAATTGCTATAATAGTCATACTGAAGGCTCACATACACAACCAACACAAGAGTGCAGTTGAAAGAAGTGGAAAGAAAAATGGTCCTTGGTTATATCTCTCATTTGCTGAATCATCTAGCTTTGAAATCTACTGAACCTATACACTTTGCATTATTTGAAAAAACTATAACCTTAATGTTTCAGTTCTGAAATTGAACTTATAGCTAAGTTTCCAAACTACCATAGCTAGTAAGAGGAGAACTTAGTAGTAAAATAACTACTGTTTACTATGTTGTTCTAATATTTGCCTTATATAAATAATTGTGCAGTTAACATATTGCTGTGTGTATAACTACTTTCCCGCAAAATTAGAATTTGCTACTTGGGTTAGCATTAGCATGTCATAAGTAGTTAATATTATTATTGCTCTTGTTTAATATTTCCAATTTGTTTTCTCAAAAGGTATCTATCTATAATATTAACAGTAATGAGTATGTTTTGTTTTATTCATTGAGTTTTATTTTTTGCATTGTTATTTATGCATGTTATTACGGCATGTCATTGTAATTTCCCAGTTTCATTTCTTTTATTACTGAACCCATTGATCATTTCACTGTATTTTTATGCATTAGTTTTATTTATTTTTCAGGGAATAATATAATTATATCTTTTGTACCAAAATTTAGCTGTGGAACTTGGGGGAATTCTTACTAAGACAAAAGGATAACTAATAATATCTTCATGATAGAATTGGTGTAAGATTAAAGTGAGATATTTTTCTAAAGATTTCTGAGTCCTTTTGTAATGACAGTAATAGTTCTTTCTTAAATTTGCTGCAAATAATTTTATCATTTTTTGGTATTATTTTACACATAATTATATTATGTCATTTGTCAGTCATAATTTAAATGTAAGAATAAAATGCAGAAGAAAAGTGATGTGGATAAATATATAAGATAATATGGCAGTAATATGAAATAACAAAACTACCATGATGATAGCCTGAAAGGAGACATTTTCAAAGATTTCTTTTTATTTTTTCATATTTATTATATTTTAACTAGTTTGCTCAAAAGAGTATTGTTGTATGTGAACTCTTTACTCTCAAGTCATAGGTATAAATACAGATACCATTTTAAAAGAAGACAGAAAGTTGAGCAGATTAAAACCATAAAGTATATGAGCTTATTAAAGTTGATTTCTTTTTTTTTTTTTCTTCCAGAAACATGATCAGGGGCAAGTTCTGTTGGATATAGTCTTTAGGCATCTTGATTTGACTGAGCGAGACTATTTTAGTTTGCAGTTGGCTGATGATTCCACAGATAACCCAGTAAGTTTAAGCTGTTGCCTTTCTTTTTAGTTTTTCTCTGTTCACAATATAATGTTCACTAATTTAATGAATTTTAAATTTTTATTTGAATAATTATAACTTTTGCTGCTTTAAACATGGGTATGCATATATCAGTATAATATGCTAATTTTAATTATTTTTCTAATATACCCAGGAGTGATATAGCTGGATCAAATGGTATTTTTATTTTTTTGTTTAATTTTGTTTGTTGATTTCTTTGAGGACTCTATTACTGATTTCTATAGTGGTTATACTAGCTTACATTCCCACCAACAGGTAGGAGGTTTCTTTTTTTCCTTGCATCTTTGCCTCTATTGATTTTTGTATTCTTGATGATAGTCATTCTGACTGGGCAGAGAAAGAATGTCAGTGTGTTTTTGATTTGCATTTCTGTATGTCTAAAGATGTTAAACATTTTCTCATATATTTATTGGCCTTTGGGTTGCCTTGAAATTTCCTCTACCAGATCAATTAGTCCATTATCCTTAAATTAAGCCTCCCACAAAGTCTTAACATGAATAAAGTGTAGAGAAATTTTTTGCCAGAGAGTAACATGCATGGCCTGTAGTCTAATTCCCAATGGAGTCGCTGTTCCCTGCAAGTCTGGTGTTTATTATCTGTGCTCTTATCAGCATTATGATATACTGAGACATCTAATAGTCAATAAGTTATGTTTACAACATTCTAGGTTTCTCTAGCTGATATCTTAAAACCTTTCCAAACTCCTGCAAAGCATTCCAAAGACTTCTGAGCCACATGGTCAGGTAGTCACAGGATTGACAGAAATTCTCTGTTACCAATTTTCTGTATTGGTTAGCTTTCCCACTGCTGGACAATATACCTGACACCTACAACTATGAGGAGGAACGTTTTATTTTGCTCACAGTTTCAGAGGATTCAATCCATGGCGTAGCTGAGTTGCTTAATTCATGGTGGTCAGGAAGCAGAGCTGAGGGATAACAGTGCTAGAGAGGAAGGAGCTAGACACTATGTATAGAATCCAAGGCCACACCTCCATCATGAAATAGACACACCCAAAAGATATACTTTACTAATCTCCTAGGCAGCTCCAAGCTAGTCAAGTTTACAATTAAGTTTAACTATCAACAGTGGCCTTTATCATGATTCTGTTTATCAAAGCCTTGAGACTGTATTATTTCTGTGCATTTACTTTGTAAAAATTTTTAAAATACTTATCAGTAGGAGAAAAGGTAAATTATTGATTAGTTAGCTTGATCTTTCTATAAATTCTTTTTTTTTGATAGTTTATATTGTAATTATAATATTTTACTGGTTACTCTTTATTTCTGTATGTCTTAATATTGTGGTTTTCCAACTTGAATTCCTATGAGCATCACCTGGAAGGGTTCTTAAAAATACAGATTTCTGGGCCCTGTGCCTAGAATTTCTGATTCATAAGGTCTACTGTGGAGTTCAGGAATTTGCCTTTCAAACAAATTCCTATGTGATGCTAATGTTCCTGGTCCAAAGAGCCATATTTTTAAAATCACTGATAAAAGTCAGTGAACTAACAAAACAACTAAAATCTGACTTAATTTATTTGGAATAATTTGATTTATCCTTTGAAGGTTTTTGTTTCACGTAATGCAAAGTTCTTGAGTCACTTTATTTTACCAAATTTTAGGACATACAGAAAATTTCACATAGAAGAAGACCAGTATTTACCAATCCATGATTTTAGTATAACATAGTTACTAAAATACTTGCTTATATCAGCCTGCTGCAGACAGGCAGGTCTGTGCACACCCCAAACACGCCGAATCAGCCCACTGCAGACAGGCAGATCTGCGGACACCCTACCAAGGACCCAAGTCCGACAGAACATGCGGAATCAGCCCAACCCCAGAAACAGTCCACTGGACGACACCCCCACCCCCGCACCCCGCTCCTCTGTACAGCCACCTGGTTCCACACTACAAAGACGCAGAGGACACTGGACTACAAGACCACAGTACTGAGTCCTGGTGATCCTGGCCCAGAGGTAGTGTCTTCTGAGCCACCGTCCCACTGCTCCTGGTCCAGAGGAAGGGGCTTCCCGGCCACCATCCCTCCCGCTGCTCCCAGCCCAGAGGAAAGAGCTTTTGGGCCACCTTCTGTCCCGCCGCTCCTAGCCCAGAGGAAGGGGCTTCCGGGCCACCATCCCTCCCACCGCTCCCGGCCCAGAGGTAGGGGCTTCTGAGCCACCATCCCACTGCTCCTGGACCAGAGGAAGGGGCTTCCCGGCCACCATCCCTCCTGCTGCTCCCAGCCCACAGGAAAGGGCTTTTGGGCCATCATCGTACTGCTGCTCCCAACCCCTGTTCCACCTCTCCTAGCTCAGAGGAGGTAATCCGTGCAGGTGCCAACAGCCACCCCAGCAGTCGAAATGAGAAAACACATAAATAAGTCTCAAAACCAGACTTCCAGATCACCTACAGCAACTCCAAAGGGAAATAAGATGGAACACTCTGATACTCAACCACCTGGACCCACTGAACTGGCAACAAAAGGGGATCTGGAAAAAATGAAATCAGAAATAATTTCTCAGGT